AACGTAGGTATTGCAGCTCTTTCAGAAAGAAAAGGTTTCATCAATGACAGAGCAAGAGTTTTCAGGAAAATTCTTCTGGACTTGTGAGGAGATTCAGGGTGAGTGCCGTTATACAAAATTTGGCTATTGATGCCTGCTATATTTAGCAACTGAAAGAAGAAAGCCAATGGCCACCTTTTTGTTCTTCTTCCAACAGAATAAGTATTGCACATTTTGTCCACTGTGTCCACACCCCCTTTGGTCATATTATAATCTAGAATTATTTCAGGTTTGTTGGTATATGGATCAATAGTGGAGTCGTCGTGCATAGTTGAAATCAAAACCACGCATTTATTTTTTTTTTGGACATGTGAAACTATCGTTACATCCTTTTGGAATCCAAAAAGTGATGACCCAACCAACCTATTTTTATTTGGCAAGAACTCTATCGGCAGCTCTCGCTTATTCTTCTTCAGGGTTCCGATGAAAGTTATTTTGTCTTGAAGAAGTTCCACTGCCAAAGGGTAACTTGAATACCAATTATCGGAGGTTAGATTTCTATTGCTTCCTTTTTGTTCTGCTAGCAAACGGTGAACGATGGCAGTTGGTGTATTAGATTGGCTATATTGGCCATCTGGTTGTTTTCCACAGTACAGCTCCAAATTACTCACATAAAATGTTCTAGCATCACAGAGCACAAATGCCTTCAAACCATATTTCGCAGGTTTGTTTGGTATGTACTGGACAAAGCTGCATCGTCCTCGGAACGCAATCAACATTTCGTCTATTGTCATAAATTCGCCCATAGAGTAGTTTTTTTTGCAATTACTTACAAATTTATCTAAAACGTACCGCACTGCGGCCAATTTATCTATTTTCTTGCGTTCATGCCTTGTTGTTTTGTCATCAAATCGAATATTTGCCAGCAGAAAAAGAAACCTTTGATAACTCATGTAAGCTCGAAATATTTCTGATCCGGTACCGTCTTTTGTCCATAATTCCAAAAAATGGGTGTGGTTTTGCTTTTTAGATCCAGATAAAAACAGTAAGCCTATAAAAGCCAGCATTTCCGTTTTTGTAACGTCCTTTGCGTCTCGTTCTCGATCATAGTTTTCCCTAACTCTTGAAATTTCTAAATTAGTACAGTGAATAATATGTTCAATCATTTCATCATCAAAAATTTTCGAAAACGCACTTGTCTCATCGGTTATGTCACGTGCGCATTGCTTTGGCCCTGGTAGTATTTTTATAATGTTTTTTATTTTGGACTTGCTGGATTTACTCATGGGATAATTTTTATACCAAATAGTCTTTTTGTCTTTGCCAATATACTTATCTTGTTTATTGGCCGCTAACACCGAGAGCAGGATATCTTCAGAATCAGAACTACTTTGATCAACATCCACTTCATCCACTTCTTCTAGTTCGCTTATTTCTTGTTCTGAATCCGAATTGTGTGCTTCTTCCTCTACTTGTTCACTTCCATCAGAATCTCCTTCTCCTCCAACTTCTTCCTCGGTATCCGTATCACATACAACTTGGGCTATAGCCGCTAATTCATCTTGGGTCAATTTTTGAGGATTTTTCACCTTAACTCGATTCCTTGAATGAATAAATCAATTAATTCAAAACATATAATCGATGTTTAATTATATACAAATATACAGACTACATTACAAATAAGTTTTCATGGAAAACCTAAAAAAAATACATTCCACTATCTACTTACATAACTGCTCGCCTTGGTGTATTTTGTACACCACCTCAAACTTCTTGAAATATCTACCCTTGTCCTCTAGCGATCCGAACCGTACTGGCGCTACATCTGGAAGATACATCGAGCGAGGCATACCTGGCTCGGCGCGGACGAACAGCTATTCGCATGGACTCGGCAGCCCTCGGCGCCATTTTGGTGTACTATATACACCAGCGCGAGTAGTTAAAGGTTAATAATGTTTGTAAACTGTGTAATGGCTTTGTTAGACAGATGTTTTAGTGTTATTTTATCAATACCGTCTTCACCCGGAGCTTTATTGATAGCAAGACGGGATATTTCATCTAATACCTGCTTCGGTGAAACGGTAAGATTTCTTAAAACGTGTTTTTGAATTTTAGTGTACCTATTTACTCTAAGCTCGCAGACTTTTCGGGTGGTTTTATAATGCTCTTCGATTGTGTCAGGCAATGTTGTCCATCTTTTTTCCTGATTTTTGCCTAAACAATCGCCTTTATCTTTATCGGTTAAGTAAAAGTTACCTTCAGCCTGAAGGGCGGGTAGCTGAAATAGTTTACCTGCATTTTTAAGCTGCCTAGAGATCTTCCAAATATCCTTGTCACCTTTTGCTATATTTCTGAGACGGTTTTCCCATTTTTGTGATCGTTCATTTATGATGTCAGAGTTTATTTCCCTTGATAATTGTAGAAGTAGTTCTTTGTCTTCTCTATTTTGGTATTTTTGCCATATTTTCCTGATGTTGTTTCTGATTTTGATTTTAACTTCAATTCCATCTGATATATTGTCAAAGTCCTCATGTATGGTTGTTCTTTCTACTGCACAAGTTCTACTAGTTTGGATAGCTTTTATAAAATTTCCAGTGGCTTCGTCTAAATCTTCGCGTGTCTTTATAAATTTGATTTCAATATATTTGTCTAAGTGATATTTGAAAGATCTCCAGTCTGCATTTCGATAGTTCCACACAGTTTTTGTATCTCTATTAACCCTAGGTTAGTCGCGTCTCTTATCCCCACATTATTAGTCGCGTGAGTGACAAGTGTCAACCATCCTAAAAAACAACCTATAGGGTAAGGCCTCTTGTTCACGACACGTTTTTTTTGCCGTACGGCAAATTTGCCGTACGGTTACAAAAACGTGCAAGCTTGCACGGGGCACGGCAAAGGTGCCCGTCGAATGAATCCAAAAAGAAGGTTTTGGATACACCCGATCTTGAAAAAACGGGGAGAATTAGGCGCATTTCATACGCTTGTCAAGAATCAATTGAGGGAGGATGAAGCCAAGTTTTACAATTATTTCAGAATGCAGAAAACAACTTTCGATAAACTGCTGCAAAAATTATCACAGAAATTAAAGCACCAAGATACCAATATGCGACAAAGCATACCTCCCGCAGAAAGATTGGCTGTAACGTTGAGGTAAGTAAAAAATCAAACTAAATACTTTTACTTAAATTTATGTATTAATACAAAGCCTTGTATCTCAAACGAACTTGTACTATGAATGATTATAAGTTACGTAAAAAAACTAAGTTGAAGCTAAAGATGCTCCCGAAATGCAGAGCTAAAATCGAATTCTTCAGTACTGGCTTGAGAATTTGCAGAGGTACTTTCTGTATTCACACTTTGAGCAGATGCTTGCGATTCTGGTCGGTTGGGGATGGGCTCTAAACCAGAGCTATGTCCAAAATCGTATTCCTGGCCATTGATTCCAAAGCCTGATCGAGCAGCTGTGGAATGCCCATACACTGAAAACTGTGAATTCGCAGGTGTTGTGCCGCTTTGATATCCTTGCTGGCCATGATCCCATTGGTTTCTAGGTGCTGCTATATATCGGTTATTTTCTCTTTCTTGTATGCTTTTAATTATTGAAATGACTTGAAACTGGAAGTCTATCATGTTTTCATCAGTAAACTTGTCAACTGAATCAGAAATTCCTCTAAAAAAGTTCATACTGCGGCTTTTCTCCTCCTGTGCCGTTACATCCATAAACTTCATAAACTTAATGTCAACCTCACTAAGTTGATTATTTTTTTTCTTCTGCTTAGCCTTTGGAGCCTCACTCGCTTTACCGTTCTGTGATCTTGATGGATTCGGTTCTGCATTTTCATTATTGATGCCTGAACTATTAACATGCTCATCCATACTGGAATCAGTCTTGCGATGTTCTACAATTTTGCTTAAGAATAGCATTTGATCATAAAAATTGTATTTTCTTATTTTGTGTGCTCCAGCGCCAGATTTATATTCACCCATTTTTTTATGACATTTCATCCAATTATCTTATATTGGTCCATTTTTTCATCACATGTTGCCCTGTAAATAAAATTAATTTTTATCATTGTATTTCAGATACCTAGCAACAGGAGCTACGTTTACAGACCTACACTACACCTATAGAATTGGAGTAAAAACCATAAGTTGCATCGTACGTGAAGTTTGCCAGTGTATTTGGTCAGAACTGTGCAAAGAGTATATGAAAATGCCTTCTAAGGAAGACTGGCTACAAATAGCTAACAAGTTTCAAGAATCTTCTGATTTCCCGCTATGCTTAGGTGCAGTCGATGGTAAACACATCAGAGTGATTAAGCCAGTGGATAGTGGTTCGATGTTTTTGAATTACAAACATTATTTTTCTATAGTTTTAATGGCGGTAGTAGATAGCGATTACAATTTTATATTTGTTGATATTGGTGCCTACGGAAAGGAATGTGATTCCAGTGTTTTCAAAGAAACTGCATTTTGGAAAAACTTAACAAACAATACACTGAACCTACCCGACGAAATCCGCTTGCCTGGAACAGACTACAAATTACCGTTTGTGTTTGTTGGAGACGAAGCCTTTGCTCTGCACTATCACTTACTTCGTCCATTCGGAGGCCATCAACTTGACCAATTAAAACGAACGTTCAATTATCGACTCACAAGAGCACGAAGATTTGTTGAATGTGGTTTTGGCATTTTAGCCAATAAATGGCGTATTCTCCACCGGCCACTGAATGTTTCCATCGATTTGGCTGTGGATATTGTGAAAGCTTGTTGCATTTTACAAAATTTTGTACATAAAGAGGAAAAGTTTCAGTTTGATAATACGAGTGAAAGAGAATCAACCTTTGAATCAGAATCGGAACTAACACAGTTACCTATGACGAATGCAGTTCGCGGAAATTTGTTAGCTAACGATGTTCGCAACAAATTTGCACAATATTTTATGTCTAACGAAGGTAGCCTCTCTTATCAAAATAACTATGCTTAAGTGGATTACTGTAAGTGAGAAATATATTCAGTTACTAACCAAAAGTGTTCTTTTCTTCACCACTTAAATCTTCAAATGCGGGATTCAATTGTACGAATATTTCTTTCCAGCAATCAAACTTCAGGCGTTTATTTTTATAACCTTCTATCGTCTTATCCCAGATCACCGGCCTTTCTTGAACTAATGTTATAAGAACTTCTTGATTGATGTCCATTTTATCGCTTATTTCATCAGCCTGTGTAATATCTTTCCCAAAACGTGAAAACGTCCGGCACCATCGACAAGCTCTCATGCACTGCGATACAACACTGATGAAAATCACGCCGTCGCCAGACGCGGCGCGCCGAGGGGCTTTCACGGCGAGCACGGCAGCTTTGCCGTAACGTAGCGCTGCCGTGTATGTCTACAAGCTCCCACTGTGATCCATACAACACTGATAACCGTGCCTACCTACGGCGAATTAACCGTAGATTTTTACGGCGAAAAACGTGCCGTGAACAAGAGGCCTAAGTGTACCAGTGAATGAACGCGTTAGGCCTTTTTCAAAGTAACCACTAATTTTATAAATCCATATTATAAGGTAACATTTAAAAAAAATACTAAATACTCGCTGTTTCAGTTGAGAATATATATTTAAAATCACATTTTCACAAACTTACATATTATTCAGTAAAAAAATAAAATAATTAACCATTTCACTAAATCCTAGTTAATGCACACGTGTTGCCAGTAAATGAACAATGTGTATCTAGTAAATGAACATAAATTCTAATAAATGAACAATGGGTATCTAGTAAATGAACTAACTGAATCCTACACATTTTTGGTACTATATCTAGGTTGCGTTAACTTAAGATTAGAAATCTATAACTATAGATTGATTTAGATATGACCAGGTGCCTATTCTGAAGGTAAGTATTTCTCTATTTCATTGCATTCAAATATGCCCCTACGAATTAATCTTGGTTCAGTAATTTGTTCTAAAATAGACGCTTTATTGTACCAAATTTGATCAACTCGACCGGGCCATTTAAAATGATATTTTCCTTCAATATCAACCTTGCACATAGTCTGCACTTCGTATTCCTCGCCTTCTATATTCTTGACGATTCCTGGAAACGGCTTTTCATCATAAAGGACGATTACATAGGACCCAGTATCAGGTCCAGATGAGTTTGAATTTTCTTCTGCGCCGATATTATTTTCCTTCATATCGAGCGAGTCATTTCCACCACTTTTGCGTTCTGTATGATTCTTAATGTTGTCTTTTATCTCAGTTTTAGGTTTAGGATTAATCTTCTTGGTTTTAGCCTTCAAATTGACCTTCAATTTTCGTTGTACTCTCAGTTCTTCTTTTTTCTGTTTCACTGCTTCTTTCTTATCCATAAATTCTTTAAACTTCTTAGAAGTAATTGCGTACGGCATACGAGTGTTATCGTTAGATTTACGTTTTGTAGACTTCACTGGTTCACTAGGCCAACGCAAATGTTGCGACCACACCTCTTTCTCATCTATAACCTTTTTCGGGATCGTATTTTCTGAAATGTTGTCCGCTTCCACTGGCTTCATTGAAGTTTCCTTTTCTAATACTACGTTACAATATTTATCCTGCGAAATATTATCTTCCGCGTTGTTTTGTTCATTGTGTTGACTTTCAATCTTCTGTAGTTTTTCAGGTTTTGTCACGCTGTAGTTTTGTAAAATACTTTCAGATTCATTAATCAAATTAACATCTTCCATCGTAAGCTGGTCTCCCCCTCTATTCTTCACCAGGTCTTCGAGGGTAACAACACTGTGTACAATAATTTTTTTCGAAGGTTCTTCCGTAGCGCAGCTTACTGACTCGTCTAATTGTTGGTTTTCCGTAGCACTACTGTACACTATCCCGTCGAGTTCAATAGGCATACTATTAATATCGAATTCATTGAAATCAGAAAAATCATTTATTAGTGATTCAAATTGATCAGTTTCCTCTCTGGGTATTTGAACAGTTGCGTCTTTGCACAAACTCCAAATGTGAAATAGTTGGTTTGTAGATGAATCTCCGATATCTCTCAATCGACTAAACTGGTCTAATAGGGGTGGATCCATATGATGTTCGAGAACTTTAAGAGTACTTTTATAATCTGCAGAATTAACAGGATTTGCAATAGTTCGCACAACTTCAAACTCCCGAATTTCTTTCCGCCTGTTCGAAATACATTTCGAATAGTCTACTGCATTTGGGTCAAAAGGAAATAAACCGGTTACTCGAAATCCAGCCATTATTGTTTCAGGTTTGATGGCTTTATCAAAAGCATTTTTAAATAGAGGTGCAAAGTTGGTTTTTGTGATAGACTTTTGTGAATCCTGTTTTTGCCTCATAACAACATCTTTCCAGGCTACTTTCAAAGCTTTGAACACCGCGACGTCACAGGGTTGGAGTATGTGAGTAGCATTAGGCAGCAAACAAAATAATATAATATTGTTTTTTATGCAAAAGTTGAAAAGATCCATGCTTATGTGCGATTTGTGTCCATCTAACAGTAACAAAACGGGTAGTTTTATATGATTTTCTTCCAACCATGGATAGAAGATATTGGCTACGAATTCGTAAAATGTCGCACTCACCATCCATCCTGAATCCGACCGACCTATTCCCCAATTATCTGGCATAGATGTAACAATATCCCGAGGTATTCTTTTGTATGGATACACCACCATCGGAGGTACACAGACACCTGCCGCCGAGAAAGTGCAAAGGACGGTAATGCACTCTTTCTCTGGTCCACTTGCCAGCTCATAAAAGTTCTTATAATTTTTTGGACCTAACAATTTTCCCGATTTTGGACATGTCTGCAACCCTGTCTCGTCTGCGTTAAAAATTCTTTCAGGGCATGATAGAATATCCTCAGCATTTTCGCTGATTAGATAATCCTTTAGTTCACCGAACCATGTCCGAATGCCTTCTTCTGTAACTGATGCTCGACCTTTTGAAATTATTTCAGTGTTTCGCTGCGTAACATTGGGGTGCCTTTGAAGAAAAAGTTTCATCCATTTTTTTCCTGGCCTATCATCTGTGAAAACATTTGGTCGTTTCACAATTTTCAAAACTCGTTGAACTGAATCTTTAACTTCGTCTGGGTGCATTGGAAAACCTAACATTGCTTTGGATAAAATCCATTTTTCTAGATTGGCCTCCTCTTCCATTGTAAGAATGGTTGTGGGTCCCATTTTTCTCACTGCAGGCACTTTGCCTCTTAATTTATTCGATAAAGTACTTTTCGGAATTCCATATTTTTTACTTGCTTGGGAAATGTTCAATTTTGATTGTCTGATGAACTCTACTGCCTCTTGTAGCTGCGCCTCCGTGTATCGAAATCTCTTGTATGGTTTTTTTGGATTTCCCATCTATAAAAAGACATCATCATACCAACCCTACTTTCCACGCAAGTAAGTATAATATTATGTAGGACAAAAGGGAATTTGTTAACGATCATTCACTGGGTATTGAAATTTACTTCGGGATCCAATAAATGAACGATTTATAAAAGAGCGTTCAATTACTGGATCGGGGCGTAAATTTAACGACTATTGTAGACTGAAAGAGCATATAAGGATCTTACGATATGAAGAACAAGGATGAATTTCATTTGCATGTTGAAATACCCAGTCAATGAACGATCTGTTCATTTACTGGTTTATCAATGGCACCTATGAATGAACGACTATATTTTCTATTTTGGCGGGAAGTTAGCGTTTTCTAGGTTTTGTTTAGTATTAAAAAGGAGTATATAGGTGTCTTATTCAAGTATTTATTCACATTACTGCTGCAAAGTGAGCAACATCCTTATTATTGAGAATAGCTACTTACCTAAGACGTTATAGCACTTGCTCCGATATACCACCAGACAAGAAATGTGAATTTTTCTGCCGCCGACACGTTCGTTCACTAGATCTCAGAAGTGTTATTTGTGAAACAAGTTAAGACAAACGCTCAAAATATGATGTCAATTCATCAAAAATAAGGCTAGAGGGGAGTCGAATCTTAAAAAATAGCTAAATTTGGGCTTTTGTTCAATTACTGGTACCGTTCATTTACAGGTGCATTTACCCTACAAGATTTTTCCAAAAATATTTATTAAATAAGAAACAAGATATTCTCTATAAGCCTTGACATTAAATGTAGGTTGATATTAACAACAAAATATATTTAAAACATAAGATAACTGTGAATTACTACTTCAGTCGTTGTTTTCATAAGATCGCACACAAATTTCTTTTAGGTGGTCATTGCAAGCAAAATTTTGACACTGCGCGCAAAGTTTTCTAGTTGTTTTATCTCGTGCTCTTCCGCAGTAGTAACAGCGCCCTCTTGCTCCTCTTCGATCTCTTTGTTCAACTACAGAAGTTGAGGGTTCCAAACCCAGCAATACCATTGACCTTCGGCGAAGTTCCCGTGGAATTTGTGAAATGTAAGAATTCAGTTCGGCGTAATTTTCCCTCGATTTGTTTGTTGAGCTTATAAATTATCATAGCATTTACAGCGGAAACATTTAATAAATTATAAAATACAACTATAGGCCAACGTCTCGTATTTCTTGCTACATTATTTTTTTGGCATATTTGGTCTACTAAATCTACTCCAATCTTGGTACTGTTGTAAAATGTTATTATATCCGGCTTTTGATATTCTCCTGTGTCTTCACTGATTGCACTATCGTGATGCATGGTAGAAACTGCTAGAACTGCTTTATTCTTTTGTGGACAGTAAGTAACAATTGTACAGTTTTCCTGGAATCCAAAAATTGAAGTAAATTTATTCCGGTCTTTTTGGGAAAGAAACTCCATAGGAATTTCTCTTTTATTTTTTCTGAGAGTACCTACGTATGTTAATTTCTTTTCAGTCAGCAGTTCATTGACTAATGGAATACTAGTGAACCAGTTATCTCCTGTGATGTTTCTATTTGTACCCTGAACTGGTTCCACCATCCTCATCACAATATCTTTGGCATTGTTACTTTGCTGATATGGACCTGGAGGTTGCAATCCAACATACGTTTCCAGTTTCATAGTATACGCTGTTTTAGCATCATACCAAAGCAAATGTTTTAATGCCATATTTACTTGGCTTATTGGGGAAGTTCTGGCGGAAAGCTGCACGACCTCTAAACGCAAGCAATTGCTCGTCTATAGTTAGATATTCACTCGGTGAGAAATATTTCTCACAATTATTGGTGAATAGTTCAAACACTTCCCTAATTGCTGCCATTTTATCAAGTTCTTTACGCATGTTACGGTCATTGATGTTGT